TGAAAGAATACAAAAGTAAGTAAGAATACGGGCTAAGTAGCTAGTATCTATCAGTTTCGATATAACTTTTGAGATAATCTTATGGACAGGCTGGTCTTTAATGTTATCATTAATTGCAGCTGCTTTAAGGTATTCATTAAAGTAACTATAAAAGTAGTAGCTTTCTCTGGCAGGATTAGTTTCAATATGGTTTAGTTCTCTACATTCATCTTCTTTTTCTTTGGCGAGGTTACATATAAATGAAATAGGTGTAGATTTTTTGAAAGTTATCATATGTGCCTTTCCTTTTTTAAAAATGGAAAAGTCTAAGGTTGGTTGGTTTAATTGAAGTTTTGATATAAAGTTTTCAGATGCTAGATAATAATCAAATGTTTTTGTAAAATAGAATTGTGATAAATTCTTAATATTATATTTTTTGTCTTTAGAGAGAGTGTCACATTTTTCAGTATTATATGTATAAATGTGAAATAATGCTTGTCTATGAGCTTTAGCCAACTCTCTTGTAAAGAATTGATAGTTGACATTGTAAATGTTTTAGGTAAAAGTTTTTTGCAGTTTTCAGATAATTTACAGGCAATATTATATTTGATGAAGTTACAGACCTTCTTTTCATCAATTTTGTGAAATTGTCATTTGTAAAGGTTGAAAATTTGTGAAACCAAGCATCAAAATAATTGGAGTGTTTTTGAGAAAAGGTGTTTCATAAATAGAGAGAAATTCTTTTTTTGGAATATTAAGTGAAATGTTGATATTAAAGGAATTGTCATTCTGAATTTTGCTTAAAGGTTGGTTAATAGTATCTATACTATAAAAATAATGAAGTCTAAGTCAGATTGGATGAATATTTAAATCTTTGCAAAATTTTTTGGTATTAATTGCTTGGTATTTCTCATGAAGTATAAGATAAATATGGGCTAGATTTAATGCTACTTAATTACAGTTAGAGATAGTATATAGTGGGATAGTATTATATGCAGTTAAAATCTTGGAGTAGTCAACTTGAGTAAACAAAGTAGTGGTGAATTCTTTAAGTAATAATGTAAATATTGCATGAAGAATATCAAATAGAATAGAGATAGCTCTATCGATGTCTGGGTTGTTATCATAAATAAAATTTGTAAGGAATTTAGGGCACAAACCTGCCAATTTGTTAAATAAATATTTGTAAATAAATTTGAATTCAGGGTTAAAGCCTTCTGCTTTTTTAGTAATCTTGCCAGGATAGATATCAATTAAGTGTGGTTTAATAAATTCAAAAAGCTGGTAAGCTAGTAGGTTGACAAATTTTGTAAAAAGTTGTATATTTTCAGAGATTGGATATTTCTTAAACCAGTCTAAGTCCTTAGATATATTTCTAGTAGGTCTTTGTTTTGTTTTTGCTGTTGTTGTTCATCAGGATTTTTATCTTGGTTATTATTATCATTTTGTTGTTGTTATTCATCTGCCTTGTCTTTTCTTTTTTGTTATCATTTCTGTAGGTTATCTTCTAATTGTTTTTAATGTTGTTAGTTTTCTTTATATTGTTTAAAAAATAAGATTTCACCTTTTTCTTTATAAGAAAATTTTCAGAATTTGACTAGTGCAATAATGAGTTGTTGTTTAGGAGTAAGAGAAATGCCATTAGCTACTTTGATAAAGCAAACCATCATTTGTTGAACAAAATTTAATGGGACCTTTGGTAAAGGTATAAGTTTCATATCTTGAATATGAGCCATACAAGCTTTGTGAATAAGCTTGTTTTTAAAGATAACTAATACAACATAGTCAGGAGAATGGTTGTTTGGTTCAGTAGCAACACAAGAGAGTGTTTTGTGTTTACAGATGATACAAGTATAATAATATTGTGAGTTAGAGATAATTGCAGTCAGAGTTTGATCTGTTCCAAAGTTAGAGAATCAAATACGAGAGGTGGTTTGAAGAGGATTAGTTTGTTAAGATGTATTTAGAGCTGGAAGTTCTTTAGAAGGAGATTTTGGAAGTACTTTATTTTTCTTTAGTTGAGAGTCAGAAATGCTATATAAAGAAATATTGGGTTATTCAGTTGTAGTTTGTTGAGTATGTACAATCCTATAGTTAGCAGAAGTAAAACTAGTGTGAAATTTTTCACAATAGCATTTGCCAATAGAGGGTTGTAAAGATATAGGAAAAAAATATTGTTTCTTGATAGTTTCATAGGATTCAGGTTTAAAGCTTGGTGGGAGGACTCAAAGTGTACTGATTCTACTTTCTGTAGTACCTAACCTATAACAGTCAGAGTAGTTCTTATAATAATAATCCTGGTTATAAGAATTCAGTTCTTGAGTAGTAAGAGTAAGCATTGTCAAAAGTTTAAAGATTTGGTCAATTCAGTAAGAGGTGTAACAAATAAGATATCACCTAGTGTAATGATTAGTGGATCGACGGGATCACTAAAATGCAAAATTTGTGTAAAGTTAATTAAAACTAAAATAGTAATAAGGCTTTTTGTATAAAAATAGATAAAACAGAGTTAGAATTGTGTAATTTGATTAATAATATTGATTTGTAATCTTAATCTACAAATTGGGCTCCCTAGGGGAGGTGGAATCTCCAAAAAACAGAAAAAAATTTTTGTAAAAATTTAACAAGTTTTAGTAATGGAGTTTTGTAATATTTTAATAATAAAATCTGAAGGATTTGTCTATTTTTGATGTATTATATATCAAATTGAAGCTCTTTTTGAGTTTAATCTTTTTCTATTAAGGAACAATAGAAATTTACTTAATAAAATTTTAAAGTAAATAACAAGAGAATCAAATTTCAATTATATAATTATAACTCAGTAATGAAGAACTTTAGAGCTATAAAACTAGACTGTCTATAAGTAAAAATAAGTGTAGAACAACTTTACTTAGGCAGCCAAAGTGGTTTACTTAATAAAATTTTGAGAAAATAGCAATTGTTTTCAAGAAAAATTTGGTACAAGTGATCATCAGAAAGAGTTAGTGATTTGCGTCTTAAAAATCTATATATTGTAATAAATATAATATGAATAATATAATATAAAAATAAAAATATTTATTACATAAAAAATATTTAAACTTCTTTATTTATTTTTCTATTCCTACTTTTTTTTATTATTAATTTTACCTTTCACCATTTTGCCAGGTTTCGTCTTTTGTCTGTGGCAAACCTCCAAGTTTTGTCTGCCAACACTAGTAGTGTATAAGTAGTGATTTCAATTGGGATGAATGAGATTATGATTAACAATAAATAGGTTTGTGATCTTAATAATGGGTAGGTTCACGATTTTAATAATGAGTTCACAATTTAATAGTAGAAATGTTCAATAAATGAGTTCATTATTTTAACAGTGAGTGGGCTCATACTATAATTTCAGCAGTGGGTGGATTGCAATTTTAACGGTAAGTAGTTCGTGGTTTAAACAGATGGTAAATTCATGATTTCAACAGCGAATAGATTCGTAATTTCAACAATAGGTAAACTTACGATTTTTAATAGTAAAAAAAAATAGTAATTATAATAGTGGGTGTTGGACTCACTATTTTAACAATGAGTCGTGATCTCAATAGTGGGTGAGTTCATGATTTCAATAATGGATAGATTACAATTTAGTAGTAATTGATTTGTAATGCTAACAGGAACTGGGGTTTGTAATGTTAATAGGAGGTACGTTCATGGTCAACTGAGGGTAGGTTTATAATTTCTGCAATAAATGTTAGATAGGTTCATACTTTTAACAATGGGTGCGGTCGACATTTAACAATAGATGTCTTTGAAACTTACGTACAAATATAGCTAAACTAGGAACAGGAAACCGGTATAAGTCCGGAGCCCATAACAGCATTCAATTAATGGCCCTAACCCCTGAAAAATCTGGTCATGTATATCGCAGATCAAAATTTTCAGGGGCGTTACAAACGGAAAATGCCGAAACTACGTTTTTGATATTAATATTATAGATGCATCAAAATCGTAATTTCATCGCTCCGGACAATAATTAAAAGGCAAATGATAACCTGACAAAGCCATATCGATCATGTGAGTTATGCATATTTGTTTAAGGTTCAAGTCACACATAAGACAGGATTATGCATGTTCAAGAACTTTCATATATATGCCCAAATTGTTCAGCCGTTCTTATTGGTACGTACATATTTATTAACTTAATTCATGTTTTTAGAGCAGCAGGCATCAAAGAAACAACTTTAGCAGGTATATGATATAACCTGATTTAAGTGTAGCATACATAAAAAAACAACTTTGAAAGGAGCCTGGCACACGATTACAAAAAGAGAGCATTGTTCACGGGATTTTCGTAAAATATGATAATTTACGTAGTAAATTAAGGTTAAATTATAGATCATAGAAATTGTATCTATCATGCCGAACAAGTAAAATGTTTAAATGCCTTTGCCATTTCAAGAAAGTATCAGAAGTTAAAGACTCTAGCTACACAAAAGTTTATGAATTAGATGTGAACATAATGCAACACGAAACATCAACTTAATTATTCGCTAATAAATTACACAATTTCGACCATATTAATTATTATAATAATTGCTTTCTTTTAATTAATTGATTTTAGGTTACTGAGTAGCATAGTTACAAGATACGTACTATACTCTGTAAATACGTAAAATTTAAAATACAGTATTCTACTGTAGGGTAATACCGTATCATATGCGGCATGTAAAATCTTTCTAGAAAATGAAGAATTTGAAATTGTCTAAAAAAGGAATTTGCGATAACATTTCATGTTACACATGAAACATATTGCATGTCCAGTCATTCAGTCTCGTGTTTGAATTATTGGTCAATTAATGCAAAATTAATGCAAGATGCAAGTACATAACGATAAACTTCATTATTCTGCAGTTTATTTTCCGTTAGATTATTTTCTTGGCGAGATTTATATAAGGCTGCTCCAAACCGATTTTTATGAACTACATTTAACGACACAACGAAAATATATGAGTGCAATAAACGAAATAATTATATTTAATTCTTTGGGCATTCCTATGGTAGTTAATAATGAAGACGATGCGCATAATACTGTTGACTCACATAGTCAAAGTTCAAAAAATTTAGAATGGTTCTTTCAAGCTTTAAATGAAGGCCGTATAATTAAATTTAATTATTTAAAATTTATTAATGTAAAAGAAATCGGACAAGGTAAAATCATCTAACATTAATTTTACTATGCGAGTAATTAAACTCTCCTCCTTATTTTTTTTATATATAGGTGGTTACGGAGTAGTTAGTTCTGCTGATTATGATGATCAAAAAGTTGCGCTGAAGCGTTTTACTGAAAACAGTTCGATAGAAAATTTTGCGAACGAAATTAAACAAATCTATACAGTTAATAATCATGATAATATTAATAGATTTCATGGAATCACGACTGGTATGATATAAATGTAATATTACGTATATTTTTTATATAGAAAGATTGTTATTTGAATTAAATATTTTCCATAATATAGATCCAAAAACGGGTGACATCATTATGGTATTGCAGTTTGCCAAAGATGGGAATCTGCGAGATTATCTAACACGCCAATGGAATATTGTTGGTTTTAAAATTTCATTAACCAAGATTATTAACATTTTGGAGCAAATTGTGCAAGGATTAAAACATTTACACACAAATAACATTATTCATCGTGATTTAGTAAGTAATTGTCTCACATCTTGATACATTTCATGGCAGAAATATTGATATGCCCATACATGACGCGTGCAGCACATATATTTTAGACAGGAATTAATAATTATTTATTCGTTAGTCACCATATACAATATTCCCTATATCAAGATTAGAGATGAGTAACGCGCATAGCCTTTAAAAATTCGGGTTTACTACAGAATCTCGTCACACAAATCTCGACTCTCAAAATCCCGACGCACAAAATCACGAAAACAAAACCCGACAACGCTAAAATTCTGACACTACCAATGTTCTAACAGTAGTACTGTTAAGAGATTTTGTAGCGTCAGGATTTTAGCGTTGTCGGGTTTGTTTTCGTGATTTTGTGCGGCGGGATTTTGAGAGTCGGGATTCTGTAGTAAAATAGTTAATAATGATTTATTTGTCTAAATCATACGTTATTCATCTTTAATATCCAATTATTTTGACGTAGTAAAGTAATTTGACAAATCGGTCCTACTTAATATGATCCATGATTTTAATAGTGACTAATAAAATCTACGTCGTTTAAGTTAAATATTTGGGGTGAGTTAATAAAACTAAGCATGTCTTTTTTGATGTTAAATAAAGATAATTCGATAATATAATAATACCTAACTACTTGAGTGATCTGAATCCTACAAAATTTGCAAAATTCCGAAAAAAAGTTTTAAACCATTTAAAAAAACTTTAATAATTAATTTTGTGATTAACAAGATTTAAATTGTTAAAAGCTATCAGAGTATTAACGAATTATCTTTGTTTAATTTAATTCTTAAAAATAATTATTATTCTTGATTTCTATTGACTCACCCCTTTTGGCAAATGGGCAGAATCTATCAATATTCTATAATATTATTTATTTATGTAAATTATTACTTGCTTTGAACTCAAAAGTAATTCTTCAATCTTTTAGCATTCCAAAAATATTTTAATAAACGGTGAACGTGTCTTAATTGCAGATTTTGGACTGGCAAGAGAACTTAATTGCATTACAGCCACTTCAAATATAATAGGAGTACCTGCTTATTTTGAACCTAAAGGCTTTTGTTTTTTTCAAAAGATTAAGCACGATGAAAAGTCTGATATTTATAGTTTGGGGGTAATAATGTGGGAACTTACAAGTGGAAGACCACCATTTGAGAGATTTAATTTAAGAGACATTTGCGATAAAATCGCAAATGGAGAACGAGAAATCACTATTCCTGGTACACCTAAAGATTATGTCGCCCTTTATCAGAAGTGTTGGTCAACTGAACCAGTACAACGACCAACTTTGAACAAAATTTTGGAATGCCTTGCAGAAATATCAAAAGAAGCGGATAATAAATTTATAATTATTGAAAATGATCGCCAAATGCCTCAACGGCATCCTTCATTGCCATATATATTCCCAAGTTCACCGAACTCAATCATTTCTTCCCATAGCTCCGTATATTTTGGTTTTCAGATGCAGATTTCTATAAATGTAACAAACATTATTACTAAAAGTCATGCAGAAAGAATTGCTTCATGGATTTATGTAAATAATATTCATAATATTCGTTGTGAATTTAAATTATTATATACGGGCAATCGAGTTCAAGATGGTCCCAAATTTAATGGCTTTTATGAAAAGTGTGGCAATAAACCAAGAACCGTTGTGGTTTTTCGAATCCGGGAAACAGGTGAAATTATTGGTGGATATAATCCAATTGAGTGGAAAACAGCACCTCGTAAGCTTGGAATGCCTTCTAGGGAATACGGAAAAACCGATAGAGGGTTTATTTTTTCTTTCAAAGGTGATAAATCAATTTATAGTGAAGTAAAAAATACTGATAAGGCAATTTATTACAAGGATGGATTTGGACCTAGTTGGGGTAAGCATGACCTATCATTGAGAAACGATATGGCGTATAACTATAAGTGGTATTGTAAACAAAAAAATTATAGTCAATTGATTAGATTTTCGGCGGGTTCCTTTGATGCTGATGATGGTTATCAAGTATTTCAAGTAATCGAAAGATAAAATTCAATTTTGCTATAGATATTTTCATAAAACATGGTCGTTAAATTTTACCATGATTTTTTTTTCTTTTTTTTTTTATAATCATGTAATATAAATTCCTATTTATAGGATAGTTAAATTTAATATGGATCATTAAAAATTTTAGTGATATCAACTAGCTGATTTTTAATAAATAAGAAATTTTGATATCTCTAATTCTAAAGCCTCAAAAAATTATTCATTATTTTGAAATTACAGTATTCTTAGTACAGTATGCTCAAATTTATCCACTATTAAATCGTGAACCCATATATCTGGATTAATGCTTGCCTCAGATGTCGATTTTTTGGCCAGCATTAATTGATCAACATTGATTGGCCTAAGTTATACCGAATTCTTCTTCCCAAACTCTTACTCCAACACCGATCAACATCTGAGGCACGCGCGAATGTATAAACTTTTTCTTTGCGTTTAATTTTTTCTCCTTCGCTCTTGTTCTTTTTACTTAACAAAAACGTGAACTAATTTTTTTTTGATGAATACTCATAAGTACACTAAAAAACAAAAATACCACAAACCATTGAGATAAATTAGTGAGATTCCTACAAATATTCGAAAAGCAGTAACGTGACAAGTACGTTTATGGTATCATTAAACAAGAAAATAATTTGCATGACTCAGGACTATCGCAATTTAGATCATCGCATTTAGAACAATTGCATTTGGAATCATCAGAAATATTGAAAAAATTCAAATTGTAGCTAATCAAGTGTCAGGATTTGAATAATAATTGTAGCATTTATTAAAAATTATTAAAATAATGACAGAAATAAATAAATAAAGTACGTGCTTGTGAATAAATCCAGCTATAAGATTTTAAAACACGATAAGTTACCTAATCAAAATATTATATGTAATGAAAACGCTCTATTTTTCTACTCGCTAACAAAAATATTCTATTGACCAAACGTAATTAGAATATTACATTTCTCAAACCTTCAGCATATTGATACATCATAGATTTCTACCAGAATTAATCGGTTATATGGCCAATATATCAAATGTATTGTACAGTACATATGTAGACTGCATATTATTAATGATTCTTGATTTCGTCAAATCATTTATCTGACGAAACTTCAAAACTCTTGATGATTGACAAAACCCTTGACGAATCACGAAAAGATTGATAGAAAGGAGGACACAAATAAAAAACATTTAGCTTTGTATAGACTAATTTTTTATGTTATGAAAGAAAATGAGCAAAAGCATACGCTCCCCTGCATGAACTATAATTGGACAATATCTACGATAAGAAACCAATAGAAACAATTTCATATATATTTTATATATAACGTACTGCTGACATGCAGACTATTTTTCTGTAAACCATTTTGTATAAGATCGCAAATTTCCTGAAAAGCCAAGAAACTATAATCTAAATGGTGATTTCTTTATGCGTCGATTCATTGTAGCGTGTAACAATAAATTTATGAATCGTGCAAATAATTATTGCTTATATAGACATAATGAAAGAAAAAAAAACGCACAAGAATGCATGCAACCTTATATTGCCAACCAATTAAAAACAATGAATTGAACATGTTTTAACGATGAATTAAAACGTTATCAAGGTTCGCTTGCAGTATAGGTGACACCATTAATAAATGTATTATTAATCAATTGATTTAGAACTGCAAAAGATCCGTTATCAATTATATTAATTTTAATCGGAGATTAACAGATATTCTCCGTTCTGTTTATAAATTTACTCAAAAATTTTATAACGATAGTTAATGCAAACAACGAAACTGCCTTTCTTAAAAGATTCTAGTTTACAGTAAATAATGACGGATTTAGAGAGTGACACCACATATATCTCTAGTTTTGAAACAATTACCTCGACATGGTTTCTTGCAGTGAGTTTTACATTAACTGCAGACTCATTTTTGCGAGCGACAGTTGATAAGACAATCGATCAAAACTATCGCCTTCTTATTCCTGTAAACATTTCATTGTTAATCAATGAAATACTCATGCTTTTCTTAGTTAGAGCAAGTCAAATTTGCTCTAGCGATACGATAAATTTGAATCCTAACTGTACACTCACGGCAAAAGTGAGCTTTGCAAAATGTTCTGACGATTCATCTGTATATTTATATTATTCGATACTTCCAGTTACTCGGATATTTTATTTCATCATCAAACCGTCCATGCTGTATCTTGCATTTAAACGTGCTGCTGACGTTTCGGAAGGTTTTGGAAAGCCTTTATCTAGATTGATTGCATGCATCTTTATTATTGCACGTATAGCGGAAGTATCTTTGACGACAACATTTTTCTTCATTGATGGCTTTAAATGTCGAGGTTCATATTGTGATTCTCTATGTTCGCTCACTTATCATAAGATTTATTATGTACGAGATATAGTTGCACCTTTCTTTCGTATTTATTATATCATTGCCGAATCATTTTTTTATTGGTGCTTATTTAAACAAACTCTAGAGTTAAGAAAAGATAGAAGCATTCGTCGAGTTATTTTTAATCAAACCTTTTTATTCACTATTGACATTGCACAACTCTTAGCAATGATGGTTTATCGAGAAGTAGGACGTTTTGATCATCAATTGCCAACCTACCTTTACGCTGAGCTATTTAGCACGGCGTTTACGGTTTTTGTGATGACAAAATTTTTGGATAAGATCCCTAAACTGCAAGAGACAGTCCAAAATGATGCTGATGGTACAAATAACGTTAATGTTAATGATAATATTGAGTCAGCTCAGGAAAAACGTTAATTATGAGAGTCAGCTCAGGAAAAACAAATTCAACAATTTCAAACTGAATGATTAGATTTCTTAAAAACGTTTACGAACGACAATCTTCTAACCTTTAAATATCAATTTTAGTAATTGCTGCAAGTAGTTTAATGTTGTTCGTAGTATTGGTTTAATCTAGATTAAAATTTGAAAAACAAATGGTTCTTTTTAATGGTAGAATTATAGTACTTTTCAAATTAATGTTTGATCAACAAATTTTATACATCACACACTACACAGAAATCTAGTAAAGTGGAATCTATTAAAATACTAATTTATGATAGGCTTAAATTATATCCACCCCGATATTATGGTGCATATTTATAAAAATTCTAATGTTTAACGTAGAATTTAAAAATAACTTTGAGCAGACGAAGAAAGCGAAAAATTTTATTGTTTCTTTATTGGAATTATTATTTTTTAAAATGGGAATTTATGAAAATACATATTTCAAAGGATGTTCGTATTTACCAATATTAATAATTAATTATTATAAAACGCACCTATGGTGTTTGCACCTATTATCATTTTATTATGTCATTTTAGAAATGTTTTAAGTTTTTATAAGTCTTATATATAAAATTTTTAACACAAAACTTTTATATTAGGGTTAGTATTTATAATTAGGGCTAGGGTGTGGGAAAAGTTTTTGAGGTGTAGAACATTTTTACTTAAAACACCTCATACAGATTAATTAGCCATTTTTTGAGATAATGTATACATGGGAGTAAACATCATAGATGCGTTTTAGTAATATTTTTTATTATATTAAAGTGTTAACTTAAATAATAAAAAATTTAGTAATAATAAAGGTTTAAAAATTACCATTATTTAACTAATATATTGGTTAGTTAAAATAATTTTTTTAATAATAATAATATTTTTATTAAAATTAGATTTCCGCATTTAACTTTGAAACCCTCAATAGTAAAATTTTAATCTGACTTACAATCAGGTAATTTCAATTAAAATATTATTTAGCAATAACATAATTTTAATTTAGCAAATAGTTATGCGTAATTAAATATTATTGTATTTATTGTATTTATAAATTAATGATTAATATTTACAGTAAACTCTAATTTAACAAATGAGTACATATAATCGAACTTACTTTTTAGTTAACATAATAAATTAGATGCTATTCAGCAATAATATTCAAATTTAATAAATGAATATGATATCATAATTGAACTTACATTCTAGTAACTGATTAAAATATTATTAAGGACCTATGTTTTAAGCAAGTTGGCTTATTTTTTTTTGCTTATTTTTGTAAAATAAGTTCGTATTTTGTTTTTTTCGTATGTTTACATTGCTTTTCAAATTACTGTTGTTAGACCTGAAAATGCGCTCACGTGCATTAATGTAGTACAGAGGTTACAATTGCCAAGAAAACTAGTAAAACTAATAGTTCTAGTAGTTCTCGTAGTTTGCGTATAACCTTTATAACTTTTATTACTTTTATTTCTATTATATGTATTAGTTAGATTATATCTCATAGAAATAATAGATAGAATAGATATAATGTAACTGGTAGATATAATAGTTATTTATCTTATTCATTCGTAATATATAAATATCCCTGATTCCTCTCTGAGAATCGATAGTTAACAACTTATTTTATTTAATAAATAATAACTTGTGTCTTCATACATGAGATAAAACTCTAATCGTGTCTTCATACATGATTTAAAACCATATTGTGTCTTCATACACAGTATAAAACCTAGAGTAATTGTTAAGTGGATTAATGATCTTTAACACATAACTATCGTAAAGAGAGTTTGCAATAGATATGTGTAGACTTATTGTATACCCTAATATGACTACTTATATCTTCATATATATTTAGCCATTTGCCTCTTTCGTAAGTGCAAATCACTTGAATCCGCTTAAAGTGTAATTGTACTAAACTCTAAATTTACTTAAGTATAAATGTTAGTAGTAGTTAGTTAATAGTATATACATTGCTAAAGTAGATTCGTTATACTGAGCTACGTAGCTTTCAGGTGCAGATGATCATCCATCACACAGAAATCTGTAAAATTCCATTATCGCGATTTGCAAAATTGTTGTTCCATTGATCAATTTTTGTAGATCGCTGCACCCCTGATTCTGATTGTTTGATTGCAATCGATTGCAATCGATCATATGTGATTGTAGCGATTTCTCAGCAACCACCTGATCAAATTCGATGAAAATTTTTTTATTTGAATTCTATGGATTAATAGAATTCAAATAAAAAAAAATCTTTGAATTTTATCTGATAGTTGCTAAGATTCTTCGCTCAAAGTTCTAAGAAAAATTTGGCGCAGCTTTCATTGTTGAAAAAAAAACTTAAAGCAATGATATCTCAGCAACCATCTGATCAAATTCGATGAATTTTTTTTATTTGAATTCTATAGATTCTAAAATTCCAATAAAAAAAATTTATCAAATTTGATCAGATGGTTGCTGAGAAATTGCTATAATCACATACAATCGATTGCAATTGATTGCAATTGAACAATCAGAGGTGCAGCGATCTACAAAAATTGATCAATAGGACAACAATTTTGCAAACCATAATAAATTCATTATTTTTTAAAAAATTTCCATCTAAAAAATTAGAATTCCAAAATTTTCTTGTCAAATCTGATTCTCTTGTATGTTATCCATTAGTATACTATATCTTGAAGTGGTCAAATCAAAGAATACTAAAATTTTTTGGTTTTCTTTACTAAATTTTCTCAAACTTCAAGTGAATCTATCTTGATAATAGC